TGCACATTTGGTGAGTAGTGCAGCCAAGCCCTGAGAATCACGTGCAGGGCCTAGCTACCTGAGCAACCCATAACTGCTGAAACACAGACCTGAATTCGAATCTTCACTATATATTCGGCTAGCTCGTGTGCTGCTTTATATTGACTGCCTGCCTTGATTTTGGTGGGGGGGTCTGCGCTATATGGCTGCGAGGACCCTTCAGATGGCCTGCATGGGCCATCTGAGCCGTCTCACGGGGATTCCCCCACTTCAAAAAAAAAAAAGGAACCTTCAGATATGGTGAGGGATCCTGTGGTAGGGGGGTAGGCCTCTGAGGGGTGTTTTTTTTGCACTTTCCGGGTTTGTTGAACGAGGTCCACCCCCTTGTAGTCCGCGATGCGCGCGCGCACCTCCCGGGGTCGCGTTCATTTTTTTCGTGCCACGTGGCGTGCAGCGCGTTTGAACGCGATTGAACGCGGCCCCGGGGGATATGAACGCGCGCGTTTGAACGTGAACGCGCGTTCAGCGCGTTCAACCGGTTACTCAGAACCGCCCCGCCCCGGCCTCTCTCTCTCTCTCTCTCTCTCGCCCCACCACGCTATCGGCACGCTCTCAGGCCGATCCGCCCGCGGTCCACCCTACCGCCCCGCCACGCTGTCACCACGCTATCGGCCCGCTCCACCCTCGGTCCACCCAACCGCCCCGCCATACTGCCGACCGACTCCCGACGGTCCACCCGACTAGCCCGCCACGCTACCGGCCCATTCCGACGGGACCCTGCGACAACCGGCTACCGGCCTCCCCAAACGTCGCGACCTTCTTGGTCCCCTGCGTCCCCACGACCCTGCGGTACCGCGCGCAGGCCTCCCTGCCCGACTTTCCCTGGGCCCGAACGCAGCGTCACGCGAGGACCGGTGTTCCCTTTAAGGTATAAGAGATATATATGGGTGAGTGATAGTCTACTTTGATTTTGGTTAAGGTAGATTATCATTTACAATGTAATCAGTGAGGGGATTCTGCAGACTATTGAGGGTTCAGCCTCCTGATGAATCGGTGAAACTCCGATGTCACAGCCCCTCGTTTGTTGTCCTCTTCTCTCTCTCTGCCTACGGTTTACCGGGCAGTTTTGTTTGTGATGATATATATATTTCGGGACGCACCGGCTCACGGTGCCAGAACAAGGGAACGGACACACGGCGTGGATGCTGGGACGGGGAAACGGAAGTCGTCCTATATATATATATATGAGTGATTGATATTTTTTTTGTGCTCCTTTTTCTTTACGACCTGTTATCCTTGAGTGCTAACGTGACGAGGGGTCTGTGTCCGCCCTCCACTGTGCACCGTTGTTCCTTCCACCCCCGCACCTTGCAAGAACCCCCACAAGCATTTCGAGGACACTGTTCCCCCCACGCATGGCATCTGTTCCATCACCAATCTTCGCTGTGACCGCTGTGCCGGCCTCCGACGTTGCCTTCGCCAGAGTGGTAGCGGCCTTATCCAGACCTTCGTTGTACGACCGTGTTGCGTCCTCCATCGCCCTCCCCAATACTGTCCCACCGCTGGTCGTGTCGTCCATCCTCGCTTTACCGGTATTCGTCCTCCGCGTCTTCGCTGCACTGTCGGAATGTTCCGTTGCTCTACCGTCGGAACCACGTTTCCCCGACGAGGGTTGTGGTGGACTGGTCTCTGTTGATGGCCTCCCGCATTACCCGGCAGGTTCTCCGACGCCAGCGTGTTGTCACACTTGATGGAGGGTCGATTCAGTTGCCACTCCATCGCTTCCCATAACTCTTTCTCAAAGCTTACTGGCACCTGCTCCGCCCTCCGTTCCTCCATAGTCATGTCCCAGTATGAAGGTTTGCCCGAAGCATTCTCACACTTGTCGAGAATCAACTTCGCTGCAGCCATCATGCCCTGCCACTTCTTACGACAATCCTCCGCTGACCTGTGCGGAAACCCATGATCCACCATTCAATCGTGCACCCACTCATACCGCTCCTTCCTCTTCTTGAACCGATGCTGGGCCCCAATGTCGGCCATGAGGGCGTCATCCTCGGCCATCAATCTCGACAGTGCGATCCTCTCCTCCAAGCTCCACGGGATGTTTTTTTATTTATTTATTGGCAGCACCATCTATCCCCCCCTGCTTTTTTCCATGCCTGCTGCTTTGGGGCCCGACCACACTCTGGCCCCCATCTGTCTGCCCAACACTGTCCCTGTCGTCCTGCACGTCGTCGGAGTTATGTGCATCAGTGTCACCGCCATCACCTTCACCTCCGTCGTCGTCAACATACAGATCTTCGTTGCCAGCAGAGGAACGGCCTCGCAACCCGGCAGGCGACGAAGCAGCAGTGTGCACAGGCCATCCCTCATCCATATCCTCTCCTTGCAGATCTACCATGGAAGGCGAAGGCTTGACAGCAGACCGCCTGACTGACATGGGCGATGGGGTGGACATTCCGCCATGCAGCGCCTGCGACGCCTGTCCGCACTGCAGGGACCACTGCCAATCATCCCTCATTGCTCCGCCCCTTTCCACAGTGTGTTGGGTGGGGTACATATGCGTGGCAATGCCATACGCATCGCCGACTGGGAACGTGTGTGGACCTGGCATGCCCTACCCACCTCCAACGTGTGTGCAATATGAGGCTTGGCCCGTGTGCGGAGTGTGTAGAGATGGCCGAACAGCGAACCGCCGACGTGCACCTGCGGCATGGAGCAGTGATGGAGAGGGCAGTGGAGCAGGTGGGACATGAGTCGGCTCGGCCCGCACACCCTCGTGCAACTGGCCACCGAAGGACTGCGCCGTCGACGGTGAAGGGGAGGAGTACGGGACAGATCCTTGCATACGCATGTCCTGGGACTGGAATCCCCCATCAAAGCCTGCACAGGGATCTGTCGTCGACTGACACGACTCCATTTCGCTGTGAAGCACCGACAACGAAGGCAACACCCAAGACCACGTACTGCTTCCTCCAAGAACACCCCTTCGGTGCGATCTCCACCCACGACAGCAGAAGTATAGGATCACACACCAAAAGACGACCGACAAGAAGAAAGTCGTCGAAAGGATGATGACTACCGCAACCACGCCTACGAAAACAGCCCAAGATGGTTTTTTTTGTCCCCCGCCTCCGCTGCAGTGGTTGTTAATGACAACATCCACACAACAGCTTTGATGGCACCGGTCACATCCACACAGGCGACGATAGCGTTCGACGACTGACACGTGGCGAGTGTGTGGATGAGGATTTATAACCACACCCTCATGTGCAACCCATCCCTGCCCACATGTGCTGCGGTTGCTCTCTGGCCAGGACAAACGAGCGCCCTGCCGAGGTAGACAAAGAAGTGAGGATGGCAAGGGAGGTAGACGACAGAGCACGGAATGTGTCACGGCCACAACACGGGAGAACAGCATCGGTCTGTACGTGTGTGCGCGCGCGCACACCGGCAGCGCAGGTTCTCGTCAGCACATTCCACACACGCTGCTCGCCACACAACCCACAGCTTCCGAATGCAAGCCCCGGCCAGAGACCGCCTGACCACGCTACCCGAAACGGCTTCCCCGTAGACAGGCCTCGCGCCCTGCACGCGCGAAGGAGATGAGCGATGGCATCATGCACGGACTACGCAGGGCAGGAGGGTTTAATGGAGGTGTCGGCGACGACCAGCTATCGGAATCGCTGCTCATGCTCCCCATGCACGCGGAGGAAATGAATGTCGCGATTGCATGGCTGGCCTTCGTCCTCAGCCGGCCAAAAATTCGAATTTTGAATGCTGCAGCATGCCGTTTGTAAAGTGAGGGGATGGCCCAGACCCCCGGGCCCTTGGGGGAACCGTGCGACGACAAAAAAACAAGAGCATGTCCGTGGCGGCCTCCCGGTCCAAAAAACGGTCCACGACGACGGTGCGTGTTCCACGCCGGCCAGCCGTTTTCTGGAAACGGATGGACATGCCCCCCCCCCCTACTCGTCTGGACGCCTCCTTGGAAAGGGAATGGAAAGCGGTCGGCGTTGAATTTCCAGACCGCCGACCGAGTAGAAACGCCCCGTCAGCATTGGGGTCTGGAATTCCTTTCCGGGCCTACTTTCCACACCGGTTTCCAACACCTGTGGGGTCTGGAAAACACTACAGGGCGTAAACTTTTCCAGGCCACCGGCCAGTGGGGTCCAGGTCTTAGTGTTGTTATGCAGCAGTAGCTTTGGAGGAAGGTGTTGGGAGAGGGGGGGCGGGATGGGGGACAGGGGTTGGGCAGGGAGAGGCGGGGTGGATGGGTGACAGGGGTTGGGCAGGGAGAGGGAGGGAGAGGGAGGGAGAGGGCGTCCCTTGGATCGCTTGCTCACTGCTCCCTCGTTGGTTCTCGCTCCTTGGTCGATTCCTCCGCCATCTCTTTCCGCTGTTTCTTGTGCTGGGGAGGCTCCGTCCTCTTCTCATCGTGTGTTGGCCTATACCTTTCTTCCTTCCTTCGTCTCGGGGAGATTCGGATGCTTCTCCGGGTTCTCCCCCCCTGGGCCCCTTGTTGCCAGCTCCTTCCGTGTGCAATATCCACTTCCTTTGCTGCCCGTCCCTTGCCTGGGTGATGTGTCTAATAATCTCTCATTCCTTCCTATATTATTCCCTGTGTCTCTCTCGTTGGTGACCTCTAAACTGCCTTCCTCTCTTCCTCCCCCTTCCACCGCCAATCTCCTCTCTTCCATCGTTGCCGCCTTCACTTCCATGTTCACTGTCCTGCGGATGTCTTCAGGCTTCGGTCAAAGGGGGGCTTCGGTCAAAGGGGGCTTCGGTCAAAGGGGGGTCACTCTGTGGCGCTGACCTCGAGGGTCGTCGCCAGCGCCGGCAGCCTTGTGCCGCTCCTTCCTGGGCGGGGGCCGCGACTATGGAGCGCTGTTGCGGGAACTGGGAGGCAGGAGGCAGGATTCCTTGCTGACCCGGGTTCTGGGAGTAGTCTGCTGATGTGGTGCGCTCTGGTGCCTCCGTCTTCCGCCTTCCGCCCGCTTCCGCCTTCCGCCGGCGTGCGATGCGCTTAGCCCCTTACTGAGAGGAAGGATTCACACAATTTTCTGCTCATTGGAGATCGGAACAGAAAGCATGTGTGCTGCATTCAAATACAACACGTATGCGCTCTCCTGGGAAGTGCCCTTTCGATTGAAAACAAAAACAAAAACAAAAACAAAAACAAAAACAAAAAACATGGACCAACTTTTCCAAAAAATCAATACCTTTGGATAGTAGTTTGAATAGAACGCATATACGTTAGGTGTTGGAGGAAGAGTGTAGTGCATTTACAAAAAAAAAAAAAAAAAAAAAAAAAAAAAAAAAAAAAAAAAAAAAAAAAAGGTGTACTGCATTCTGACTGGGGGGGTTATTTTGCCTTAAATTCTTCAAGCAAAAGGGCACAATTCACCCTCTCCTCGGTGTAACCTTGAAAATTCTAAGTTAAATACACCAGCTTGCGATTTGAGAGCACCGCCGAGCACGTTGCATCCTTTTTCAGATGCATGGGCTGGCCTGGGCCCAGTTGCATGGGCTGGCCTGGGCCCAGTTCCTTCATCATGATGATGGAGACACTGTCAGAGGTCCGCAGAATGGTGTCTCCCCGACCGTTTTTTTTTTTTTTCTTCTTCTTTTTTGAAGATTTACCGGCGCAGTGCCCAGTGGGCCAATGCTCACCGACTGGTGGTGCAATAATATTATTGACTGCCATCAATTGTAGACCAATGGGGATTGGGGATTCTGTCTCGCTTGAAAAGGTTGAGGAGTGAGTCACTGACTCTGGGTGAGTGCATCATACTTGCATCACTGTCGATACTGTACTAGGAACTTCAAGTATTTTGGATATTTCTGCTATATGTTTATTTGCAGCAGCAAGATGCAACTAGACATGTTGTCCTCCAACACATAAAAGTGTGGTAGTATACAGCTCGAGTCCGTAAACAAATTGCATACTATGTCTATCTATTTATCTATCTATCTATCTATCTATCTATCTATCTATCTACCTATCTATCTATAGATGTATTTATCTATCTATAGATGTATTTATCTATCTATCTATCTATAGAGATCTATCTATCTATCGATCGATTTATCTATGGATATATCGATCGAGCGATAGATCGATCAATAGATCGATCTATCGAATCAGTCTATCTACCTGTCTAATCAGTCTATTATACATATATCTGTCTATCTATCTATATCTATGTATCTATTTCTGGATCGATCCATCGGATAACCGAAGCTCAACAAGCAGTCATGAGAGAAGAGAGAATAATCATGGTACTACTAAGAAATAATCAATGCCATGGTAAGCAATAATCATGACACATAATCCCTCCTGGATAATCAGCACAATAACCTCCAGCATATTCAGGACCACAGCTGCACCAATCTGATGAACTAGCAATAATTGCAATCAGACTCGTTTTCAAACACACTTTTCACACATGTAAACAGTAACGCAGCACACTGGCGACATGCGCCCACTCAAAACTCAGAGAT